TGTCTGTCCTTTTACGTGTGGCAAGATTAATGCTAGGGGACCATATTGCTACTATAAATGTATGTTTTTATATTATAAACATATATGGCTAACTAAATAATTTGATTGAAGCTCACTGCCTGGTCTTCAAATATTTGAGAATACAGAGCAATGTTATCACTTTTGTATTATCTCTTTAAAAGATGACAAAAATTGTTCTTTCTGAAAAAAGACTACTTACATTACCCCAAACTTGTTCCCCATGGCACCACGGATGCATCTTGAAAATAATGGGCAGCACTGTGAGCCTGTCGTAGTTTTGTGGGGAAAGAAAGACCATCTCTATGTTACTTCCAAGTATTGTGCAAAATAAATTTAAAGGAGAAAAAAGCTGTACTCAGTTTTCCCTCTTCCAAGTGAAAATTGTGTGTACCATTGTTCTTAAGGTGAAGGAAAAGATGTAAACAGCACCATAGCCTGCAATCTGTTTGAGTGTTTAAGCAGAAATGTGAGGGCAGTAGGGGCAACATCAGCACTGGTTGCCTTGGGTTCTTACTGGTTTGGGCTGTGAGAGGTGACACCTCAGCCTGATGTCTGTCTGGTGCTCTCAGCCTTTCCCACAGTCTGTCCTGCAGACAGAAATCTGTACTGTCCGTATTCTGTACACCACAGCAGCATTGACATTTAAATCTCTGTCGTACTTCAGATCAAACAGTTAAACAGTTATTGAAACATTGTAGTGTACCTTTGCCCTTCCAAGACAGGCGTATAAAAATATGCAAATTACTGCTCTTGACAGAGTAGAAGAAATTTGTCCCTGATGATGTTGTTTCTCATGGGAGAGAGCATCCAGATACAAAGTGAAAAATGAAGAAAAAAACTTTTCTTTCTCAATTTGTTTTCCTTTTTTCTATTTCCTCTACTAATCAACAGAATACAACATATCGTATCCATTTGCTGTTTGAACAGTCAGGAACGCTTGAATGTCTTTCTCGTAATTTAGGAATTGTTTCAGGGAAAGACTGAAAAATACACATTGAAGTAACCACATAAACTTCCAGATAGAAATCAGCTCTTTTTTTTTTCTTTTATTTTTTTTTTTCCTTTCTCTTTTTTTTTTTCCTGCCAGTGCAATTTATGTTGAGAGATGAACTAAGCTTCTTCCTCAAAGTCACAGCTATAGATCAGCTAGAAGCTTGAAGGACTACTTAAATCCTGATAGGTGACACATTGATGTACAGCTTCAAGAACTGTGCCAAGAAAGGAAAAATCAACAAGATCTTCACCTGATTTATGTAGGCTGGAGCTTTCTTCTGCGACTTGCCTTGCCTTTAAAAGGTGATCTCATGGAGGCATAATTAAAACTTGATGATGTTATTAAATAATCATGATGATTTGTGTCCCTGTGTTGCAGCCATATGTATGTTTTTGCGTTGCTTACAAATGTGGCTAGTTCTTGCATGTGAAAATGAAGGTTACAGTGTACTTACTGGGCTCAAGGCCAGAAATTTTTCATGCAGCTCTTTTGTGAAAGGTCTCCAAATAATTCTAATGCTGGATCTCTGTTTTTGTTTACAATTAGTCAAACTGCAAGCTAGTGGGGAAAAAAAAAAACAACAAATCCAAGAAGTTTTGACAACTAAATTTGCCCACTCAGTGGAGAGAGGCAGTACCCTGACAGCAGAGATACTGACTTAGGAATGGAGGCAGTGGAAGTTGTAACTAAGTATTTACTCTGATCTGAAAACCACTGGTAACTCAGTTTTGCCTTTTTCTTTGTCCTCCTCTTGCTTGAGTAATGGAGAAAGAAAGTGTTGGGTCAGGGTTTCTCTCACTAGATGTTTAGAAACTGAGCAGGAGGTAGAGCTGACCTGCAGCCTATAGATACGCGCTAAGATTAATAAAGATTGCTGATGTGCTTCATTTACAGTATTCCCACTGAATTAAATTACTTGGGCTAGAATTTTTGAGATATACAAAAAGCTGCCTTTGAAATCAATTCTGGGTATTTTTCTCCACTGTCTGAATGCTGGTGGGAATTTTGAAGAAAGTATGCATCGTCTGTCTTTTAATTTTTCTTAGGATTTGCTCTGTGCCGTAAGATTCCTTCTGCTTTCTGACAGTCCTAACGTTCTCCACTTATATAAATAACAGTGATTTTTTACTCTTTCATTTTTGGACTGAAAAGGCATAAACCACAATGTGTTTATTTATAGAAAAGATGGAGGACAGCACCTCTGATTCTGCGTGCATGGTAGTCAGCATAGTAGAGGGTTTGATTATGATAAGAAGCATGAGTTAGAACTGATAATCAAGATCATGAGAATCCCCAGCCTTTCTATTAACTTTGATTTATTGATCATTATGAGTAGGAGCAGAGATAAGCTTTGGCTCGGAGGAAGACCAGAAAGGCCAGTGTGCGCTGGGGTTATTGCCTTGTTTCACACTGTGATTTACAGTGACAGTGCAGGCTGCATTCTTCTGCTTGGTGTTATTTTATTTCTTCTCATCACGATAGTATTTCATGACTTAAAGACAAGTGCCCTCTGAGAATCTGTTCCGTTGTTTCTCTGACATTATTACAGGCTGAAGGTCTGATTATTGGAAGCGCTGAGCCCTTGCAGCTCCTGCTGAATGAATGGAAACTGAAGGTGCTCTGAAAATTAGCCTGAGGTGTTTTGTCCTTTTAAAGCAATTGAGCCCTGCCTCATAAATATAGGTCTCTGCTTTGACTAATTGCCCCGTCAGCACATCCTTTTAAGTAAATGCCGTTGATTTGATTAGATTGAAACCTATGCTCCAAAATTAACTCTCATCTTCGCTACATAGCTGAGGAATTTATTAGATTTTAGTAAGCCTAATGTTAAAATTAAGCCTCAAATGTACAATTAAGCTTTAGAGTTTTGCTTTGTAATTGGAATACTGCATCTTGAGAAAGATCAAAAACCACGTTTCTTGGAGGCTTCAGGTGACTGTAAGCACATCTGGTGTTTCTTTGGTGTTTGTAGCAGCTACTAACATGGCAGAAGTTGCAAAGCATACTGGAAGGGTATTTTTGTGGCTAGAGGCACTGAGACCAAGAGCTTGAATCTCATGCAAGGAGTCAGCCTACCTCTACCATTCACATTCTCTTTGTTCTAATTTCTCTGGTCTCACTGAGAGAAAGAAAATATCATGCAATGATGCAGCTTCAAGGAAAAGGGTATTTTATCCCAATGATGAGTACTACTACCATTCTTCAAGAGGATGAAACATACCTAAGCTATGACTGTTTGATCCTGAAGGAAGGGAAGATGCTGCTGTATGGACACGTGAGTGACTACTGAAAAAGAGCAGAATACTGGATGGAGAACTGAGAGATGAAACAGAGATTTGAGAACAGGGTACATGATAAAGAACTGAATCAACATGACTGCTCTTTCTAAAGAAGATAAATGTGGAACCTACTTGGAGATGGCAGGGTTTAAAGATCCTCTTCTGCCCTTGGCTAAAGCCCCTTTTGTTCCTGGGTTCTCAGAGAGGCCCAGAGTTCAGTGTTGCTTCAGCTCTACCCTTACTGTTCACTCAAGGAGATTCAGAGTAGTCTTATCAAACTAAACTCTGCCTTTCTAGAATCATCATGATAGTATTCTTTTATTTTGATTTTTATAAATAACGTTTTGTTATTGTGTGATGTTTTGTTTTCTTTTGTTTTGTTTTTCCTTGCCCCATCCCAGATAAGGGACAGGTGACATAAGATCCATTTGTTTCCAGTGATTTTCAAAGAACAAATTTAACCAGTTATATTTTCATCCATATGTCTATCTAGATTTCTCTGTTTACCTCTGTGGTATGTCCATATACAATATGGTAGCTAATCAGCTGTATCAGCAGAACTTCACATTTCAGTATATTGATCTAATATTATTTGACCACAACAACCCCAGGCAACGCTACAGGCTTGGAACAGAGTGGCTTGAAGACTGTGTGAAAGAAATGGCCCCGAGGGTGTTGGTTGACACAGCTAAATGTGAGCCAGCAGCGTGCCCAGGTTGCCAAGAAGGCCAATAGCATCCTGGCTTGTATCAGAAATAGTGCAGCCAGCAGGAGCAGGGAAGTGATCATCTCCCTGTACTCGGCTCTGGTGAGGAACCTTGAGTACTGTGTTGAGTTTTAGGCCCCTCGGTACACAAAGACTTTGAGGCCCTGGAGTGTGTCAAGAGAAGGGCAGTGAAGCTGTGAGAAGTCTGGAGCACAAATCTTATGAGGAGCAGCTGAGGGAGCAGGGATTGTTAGGAGAAGGGGGAGCTCAAGGGAGACCTCATTGCTCTCTGCAACCACCCGAAAGGAGGTGCTGGCACAGTGGTAGTTGGCTTCTTCTCCCTAGTAACTAGTGATAGGATGGGAGGGAATGGCCTCAAGTTCAAGTTGGCTGTTGGGAAACATTTCTTCTCTGGAAAGAAAGGCACTGGAATGAGCTGTCTAGGGAGGTTGTCACCATCCCTGAAGGTGTTCAAGAAACATTTAGGTGTTGCAGTAAGGGATATGGTTTAGTGGGGAAATAGTGATGGTAGGTGGACGATTGGAACAGATGGTGTTGGAGGTCTTTTCCAACACTGGTGATGTTTAGTGTTTGTTCTCAGCTGTCAATATACTACACACTGTTAGCAGTTGAAAGATTGTTTCATTGAGGATATTTATGTTTCTGCCTCTTTCTGTGTCTTTCTCTGTCCTGAAAACAACAAAAACGTAGCATTGGTTAGGCACCCACTGTGAGAATACTCAGGCAAGGTGGTCATTGCTTCCTCTTGCTCTTGCTGGTGGTCTCATGCAGAGAAGCACTGTGTTTCATTAACTTTAAGGCTAGATTTTCAGGATTACTTTTTGACAACCTTTGCTACTAGAACTAGGATTGCTGTGAATTATGGTTTGTGACTGGTTGTACTACATGCAGGTTTGGGGAGATGTTGTTGTTGTTTGGGTTTTTTTTCCTCATTCCTTTAAATGTTTTATTCCACTACTCCTTGTTTTTCTGTTTTTAGCCAGTGAGACGTGCAATGATTTCCATCCCATGTTCTTCACACATGACAGATCGTTTGAGGAGTTCTTCTGCATCTGCATTCAGCTCTTGAACAAGACATGGAAGGAAATGAGGGCAACTTCCGAGGACTTCAATAAGGCAAGAAAAGGGGTGGGGAGGGAATCACTGGGCAGAATGGTGAAATAAGGCTGTGCTTCCCTAGAGGTACAGAGATTAACTGATCCCACTTCTGTTGAATGCTGTGGGGTGTCTTCTGTTCAGATTCTCTGCACATTGGAGGGGCAGGATTTAGAAAGCAGCAGCTGGAATGGAAGGAATAAGAGAAGTTCATAGACCTTTTTCAATCATCTTTAACTGCAGACTGAAAATAAAAACCTGGCTTGAGGCAAAATTCTGCCTTTTTGTGTTAGCAATATTATGCTGAAGTGCTGCAGCCTCTAATGTTGTAAATAATGCAAAGAGATTGCTGCAGTGATAATTCTGTGCATCCCTTTCATTTCGTACAAGCACTAAAGTGGTAAAATATTCAAGAGGGTCACAATTCCTGAGAAAGTGCTGTACAGTCTGGCCAGCTGAAACAAAACAGAACAAGTAAGTATTGTTATTGCACCCTTTTCATTGTAAGAGAAATCTGAAAGTTTCAACCAATCTTCTGACTGACAGCAAAGCTGTTGAGAACAAGGCTGTGTGTCTTTATGGGCCCTAGGTAGCTTTGGAATTTTGCAAATAGGACAAAATTGTGTTTATGTGACCTGCTGGCATCTTCATCATTTTGGGGATCCTTCAACTGACTCTTAAGCCTCTGCCTGAGATCAGATGTTGATTATAGACATATTGCTTGAGTATGAAAAGTGAGACTGCTGCATTGTGCCATCATCTCCCTAAGAAGCGCTCTGTTATCACTGGATGTGAATGTTATGTGTACACTAGTAAGGATGATTGTTTCTAACTTCTTAATGAAATGGTCTAAGACATTTTCCACTGCAGAGGGAAAGTGAATACTTAGGACACAGTATGAAATAACCTTTGTTGATGTCTTCATGGTAAGATACTTCTAGTTAGCAGCAATACCTGAACACTGGCAAAAAAAACAAAGGGAAGTCCAAAATGCAGGCAGAATAACCTGGAGGCTTGCTCTTGTGTGGAATTTCTGACACACTTCTCTTTCCAAGTGGTACAGAACTGTAGAGAGAGTAATAGCAAGATAATCTACTGAAGAATGTAGAAAATGAAAAGGAGTTAAAAGTAATCACTTTTTTTAATAGACCACTTCATAGTATGTGGTTGTTTTAAACAAGTGTATTAATAACTGCCTATTGCTTATAGGCCTTCTTTCTCAAGAGAAGGATTTGTGTATATAACTTTCTACAACTTCAGTTGGAATACTATTAGTAATCCTGGGGAATTCAAGTAAAAGTGGGCCTATTTCTGGCAACAGCCGAGATCATCCTAGGAGAAAATACAGAAATGTGCTTGTTAGAGTTAGACTTTGGAACTTTGGAAGGTCAGGTAGTTTCTTCTCAGCTCTGATAAGTGAGTTAGTTGTGTTTTTATGTTACTGAAAATCTAGTGACTTTACCCAGCAATTCTTCCAGAATGTGCAGGCTGGCAGTAGATTCTGCTGCCTGTGTCATGGAAGACATAGGCAGCCTTTAACTTCACAGAATAAATGTGTACTCTTGCAGCCCACAAGGCCAACAGTATCCTGCACTGTATCAAAAGAGAGGTGGCCAGCATGGTGAGGAGGGTGATTGTTCCTCTGTACTCTATCCTCATGAGGCCCCATCTGGAGTACTGCATCCAGCTGTGGGGCCTCCAGCTCAGGAAAGATGTGGAGCTTTTATAGAGGGTCAACAGGAGGGCCATGATCAGAGGGCTGAAACACCTCTCCTGTGAAGACAGGTTGAAGGAGCTTGGCTTATCTTGGTTTATCTTGGAGAAGACTGGAGAGACCTCATTATGGCCTTCCAGTATTTAAATTGAGATTATAAAAAGGAGTGAAATCAACTTTTTACACGGGTAGATTGTGAAAGGAAAAAGGGGAAATGGTTATAAACTAAAGAAGGAGGAATTTAGATTAGATGTCTGGGAAGTTTTTCATTGAGAGAGTGGTGAGGTGCTGGCACAGGCTGCCCAAAGGATTTGTGGATGCCCTATCCCTGGAGGCCAACTAGGTGGTGCCCTGAGCAACCTGATCTAGTGCTTAATCTCGTGAGTGGCAACCCTGGTCACAGCAGGGGGGTTGGAACTAGGTTATCTTTGAGGTCCCTTCCAACCCAAGTCATTCTGTGATTCTTTGAAACATGAAAGTTGTGCTGGTGCTTGAAAGATCCATCCAGAATCTCTGCCTGCTGAAATCATTCTTGGTTTTTTAACCTTTTTCATTAAGGGGAGTGCTATAAACTCCTGTGGTTTTCATTTCTAGCAGTTCAGTTATGGTCTGCTTATCTGAATCTTTTCTTTTAGTCACAAGATTTTTCTGCTCTTAGCCACTTCAGATGATGTGTAGTAGTGGTGTGCATTACTCAGCTGATAACTGTCTTAAAGGGATCTGTGAGTAAGGTAAACTATGTTGTCACGTGGGCTTGTGAAGCACTTCTGGATTTGTGGAGGATGAGATGTTATGTAGTGGTACTCAAAGTTTACTCATCCGGTTGGTACCTGACAGCTGCCAGTGCTGATGACTTTACTAAGCCAAACCAAGCAACATTGTTTTTAATCATTACTTGGCAAGCAGCTTTGGTGATCTTGACGTGTTAATATTCTTTCTTCATCCTTTCTGTGTGCTGAGTACCTGTTCTTTATGCAGTGTGTTCTGCAAGCGTGGCAGGCAAAGGCTGTATAGAACATTTGGCCTACCCTTTCAGGAGTAAATGGGAGTAAAGCAGAGACCTTACAGGATGCAGTAACTTAGCTGATGGTGAAGAATTCTCTTTTCTCCTATCTTATTTTTTTTTAATTACTATTATTCAGATTCAGTAACTTGATTGTCTTGATAATGTGTGAAACATTACTTGGCTAAAGTCTGCTATCTACCTGAGTGATGGGATCATTTCTTTTCTTCCTTCTTCCCTTCCTACTCCAAAATATGCAAGACAAAATTGGAAGCTCTTCGTATATTGTGTGGTAACTCCTTAATGAGACCTGGAGATGCCAATAAAAAGCTCATCTGCTTGCTTTAATCTTTAATCATAATTGAAGTGAAGGAGCTTTAAGAGTTGAATTTTAAACTTTTGATTAGTCACAATAGATTGCATAGGATAGGTGATAGGAGGTCTGTGTGCAAACAGCAAGATTTATTTCCTTATGTCCTGCATTGAAGAGTTACAGGTGCTTCGAAGAAGTGAAGCAATCTAATACTTCCCCACAGGTCAGAATCATAGAATTGTTTGAGTTAGAAGGGACCATTAAGGGTCAGCTGTTCCAACTGCCCTGAAATGAACAGAGGCATCTACATCTCAGTCAGATTGCTCTGAACCCAGTCCGTTCTGACCTTGAATGTCTCCAGGGATGGGGTACCCACCACATTGGTGGCTCATGTTCACCTTTTCATCCGCCAGAACACCAACATCCTTTTTAGCAGAAAGGGGCTCTATCCTTTTATCCCCCAGCTGGCATTGATAGTGGAGTTTGTCACAACCCAGGTGCAGGACCTTTCACTTGGGTTTGTGTAATGTCACGAGATTCACCTAGACCCACTTGAGCCTGTCTAGATCTCTCTGGATGGCATCCTGTCCCTCCCAACAGCACAAAACTGCTTGATATCATCTGCAAACTTGCTGAGTGCGCACTCAATCCCATTGTTGATGTCACTAATGAAGATATTAAGCAACATTAGTCCCAATACTGACACCTGAGGGACACCACTCATCACTGATCTCCATCTGGACATTGAGCCATTGACCACCATTCTCCGGCTGTGATCTTACAACCAGTTTCTCCTCCATTCGACATCCACCCATCAAATCCATATCTTTCCAATTTGAGTGAAGGATGTTATGAGGCAGTATGTCAGAGGCCTTACTGAAGTCCAGACAGATGGTATCAGTGTCTCTTCTCTTGTCCAGTTATGCCATCATAGAAGACCACTAGATTGTTCAGGCAAAACCTGCCCTTGGTGAAGCCACGCTGGCTTCCATGTGCCTCAGCATAGATTCCAGGAGTGTCTGTTCCATGATGTTCCTTGACACAGAGGCCAAAGGATGGATAGTTCCTTGGGTCATCCTTTTTGCCTTCGTAAAAATGTGTGTGATGTTGCCTTTTTCCAGTCACCAGGGACTTCACCTGACTGCCTTTTCAAATATCATTTTGAGTGGCTTGGCAACATCAGTCAAGTCCCTCAGGACTCTTGAATGCATCTCACTGTGACCTATAGACTTACAGATGTTCAGGTTTCTCAGGTGGTCATAAACCTGATCTTTGCTTGCAGGTTTCAAAGCTTATACAAAGATGAAGACATTCTTTTGGCAATAATGTTGCATACTATACCTCCATGGTTCCACAGTCCATCTTGTAGAGATTCCTTATAGGTTTGTTGATTTAAAAAACAAAAACAAAAACTTAGTAAATAAATAAAATGGCACTTTATCCACAGTTGGAAGAATGTGATGGTGTTTTAGTGAGACATTTATGATCTCATGCTTTGTCTCTCTGATTCCCATTCATTAAAACAGGCACTTTTTGTCAGACTTAACTCCCTTGCATTAGCAAAGCTCTTTGAATCTCTGTGGTGATAGTATGATACTGTCAGACCTAAAACCTTTTTAAAGTCTCCCAGTATATCAGTGAATGTCTGAATAGAATAATTCACTCAGGCAGCCAAACATATATTTTGCTTTTGTAATATTTTAATACATGTGTAATTCATGTCTGGTGAGTTTTCTAAAGAAATGAAGATACAGTGGGATAGACAGACATGCAAGTGGCAACAGTTCCGTTTGAAACCTTTTTGTTTTTCTTTGAGTCTACAGATGATCAAAGGACACTTAACAAGCTCTATCCTCCACAGTCATTTGTGATCAGACAGCATAGTTTATGATTTTGAAAATATAAAGCTTGGAGACAAGATTACATAATTCTACATGTTTTATTGCAGCAGAGGAAAACGTTGTGCATAGCTTTTGGAGACAATGCTGAGT